TGATCTCTTTAAATTCTGTTGATTATATCAAGGTGTTTTTGAATAAGGTAGTGGTCAAGCGTTCTGAGTCTGACAGGATTATATTTGTTTTCTTCACTTGTTGCCTTTTTTCCAAAATAATATTGCCCAAATTTTACCCCTGAACATCTTAATGGGCTTTCCTCTTAAAAATACAGATTTTTGTTTTTAATCCACCTTACAGCTATTGGAAATGTCTTTCTTTGCATTTATACGCTGGCATGTCTGTTTTTGGAGTCTTGCATTCATTTGTTGGTTTGTTTTTAAAGATACTGTATCAAACAAAAATTTACTGTTCATTTTACAATATTATGCACAGTACCTTTAGTAGTTGTGAAAATAGGCAATGGATATTATATGGTTCACAATGTTGAAAATATTAACTACTTGATCCTTTACAGAAACCTTTGCCAACGCTTGGTTTAGAATATTTTGGAATGAATTTCCCCCTTTTAAGGATATTGGAAGTTCTTTTTTTTCCACTGCATTTTCAGTCATGCAATCTAATGTCTAATTTTTAGAAAATCATTTAGCTCACCATTCTCTCTGCTAACTGAATTTCCCTCAACTCTTGCGAAGTGGTCCTCCGGCCAAAAGGTTTAGGCCAATAAGACAAAACAGCCTTGGACATGATTATGTTAAGTGCAGAATTACCCATGATTGGGAGTCCAATCTGTGACTCCCAATGAAAAGGTAGATGAAATACCTTATTCTGTCAGAATATGTGATTATTCATTTTACTGTTGATGGATATTGAGTTTTTTCACTTTCAGCATGTTGCAGTGTAATACTTCTTTATATCTTCTTATTTTTTCTTTTGGTGTTCATTACTAAATATTACCAAATGATTTTCCAAAGTGATTGTACCCACTTCTGTGGTGCTAGTAGGATTAGGTGAGTTCCAGTTGTATTACACTATTATCGACAAGTTTGCGATCCCCCACCCCCAAGGTAGTTCTGATATATTGCTCCTAATAAACTTATCCTGAGACTATAGCCTGATTTCCTGTCTTAGGAAATCTTAGGAAATTTCCTGTATTTGACAGCTAGTTAACTGTTTTCAACCAATTAAGTAGGTCTGTTATTTTTTCAAGCCCTCAGAGATTTGATTTAAGCTTAGTTGTGCTAAAATCATTCACTTTTTCCCTGAAATTAAAAAAAAAAATGAGTGTAGGTACATGTGAATATAGCAATATCTAGTCCAGAGATAATCACTGGTCTTAATTTGGTTTAAAAAAAAGGTAATTTTCTAGTTTAAAAGTTATAGTCACAAGTAATTGGTTGCTTCAGAAAAAACAACCATTACCCTTTTTTTGGACTGAAATGTTAGACTGCCAAGGGCCATACCGAAAATCATTGCCATGGAATTCTGTAAAAGAAAGATGAGTAAGGAAATTATATGCCTAGTATTTTGTGCATAATTATACTTAATTCTCACACTATGAGGTGAGGGGGGATGGTATAGCATCTGTATTTTAGAAATGAGGAAACTACAGAATCAAAACAGGAACATTAACGTACCTCCTAGGTGAGTCCTTCTAGACTCAGAGCCCAGAGTTTTCCCATTACATTGTGACATCAGGTCATCCTGTTTGATAAATGCTTATTTCTTAACCTGAAAATGATGTCTTTTTAAATTCAGATTGATAGTGGCAGTAATTAAATCCACCTACATGGTCTTGTGAGTCAAGTTCTAAGTTTGAAAATGGTCTCCTGTAGTCTTTCCCTCTTTCTTGGTGACCTATGGAAATGGCCCTCAGAGAAATCCTACTGAAGTCAATTAATTGCCTTTGAATTTTAACTGTTTAAGACTCTTCTGAACCAGCTAACTGTCACATTTCTATACCATGTTGCTAATTTTACCCATCAGGTTTTGTTGTGGAATGATGTGGAATTATAAGGATTCTTCAGTGAAAATTTGCGTTGTTTCATATGTTAAAATTTTCTATCTAGGAGATTCTTGCTTATTATATGCCAAGAAGACCTGTAGTGAAGAATGATGTTCATTTCCTCCTGTAATGAATCATACAACTTTAGAATTAGAAAAGCCCTTCAAACTATTCTAACCTCTTTACTTTCTCTAAGTTTCTCTTCTAGTGCTATGCACTTAGTAATTATTCTTGAGTTGATGTCTTAGTGTCACTGAAGGACAGGTAGAAACTTTCAGGCCCTCTATAAATGGAAACTGTAATTTAAGGATATTAGTTCACATTTGGCTGTACCTGTCTATGTGTGCTGAGTGAACTTAGGTAAGAAATATTAAAGATTCTTGTGGGAAATTATACCTGAAAGTGTGAGAGGTGTAATTTGTTCACATTGGATAATTTTCTTGTTTTCTTGTCTTTTCTATATGCATTTCTTATCACTGGTGAGTCTTTTATAAGACTTTGCTCCTGGTCCATGAAATTGCCTCTCATTTCTTTGTCCCACCAACCCTGCTTTCCATATACTTGTTCACATTTGTATGTGAACTTGGCAAGTGTCTGAAACTAGTTGACCTGATAACTAAAGATTTTAATGAATTTTAGTTGTTTTCAACTCTTTCTAATACAGGCAAAGGGATTCTTATTTGAGTGACCTGCCTTTTTTTTTCAAATGGTAGATTTTGTAGTTTTCTGGCTATTGTAATATCCCAATTTCTCAAGACAAATTGGTTTAAAGTAAGTTGAAATTGAGAAAAGCTCTTGTTTGTAATCATTTGCTTTAAGTTTCTAAAACTAATGAGATAACATGGTATCTTCTATTAATACAAGGGCTTTTATTAAGAGAATACAATTATGTTGAGGGGTGTAGTTTATATTGATTAAATAGTGTGCTATAGTACTTGTTTTTGTACTTACCTTTGCCTTTGCAGTTCTTTTGGATGTATTTCTAGGAATTGCAGGGTCATATGATAAATTCTGAGTTTTAACTTTTTGAATGCCCACTGATTTTCCTATAGCAGCTGAACCATTTTATATTCCTACCAACAATGTGTATAGGTTCCAGTTTCTTGACATCCTCAATAATGGCTATTTTTCCATAACTTTTTTGTTTTTGATGGTATTTAAATGGTATAGTGTTATTTTACTTCATTTTCTGTGTTTTGTGTGTGTGTGTGTGTATGAGAGAGAGAGAAAATACATTTATTTTCCCCATATAAACCTTTTATCTACTGATTTTCTTAAATTTACTGGTAAGTTATTATTTATGTGTTCATTGGATTTTCTATGTGCATAGAAGTTTCTGATTTCCAAAAATTTACTAATTCTTTGTTCCTTTTTCATATAGCTACTCTATGGGCATAAATAGTCTTGTGAATGGCTTGGAAAATATTTATTGGAGTTTAAATTCTTTCTATATTTTTCATTAGCTTCCCTTGTGGTTTGTTTTATTGCTTTTCATTTTGGTCCTTTTAAAATTTTTTGGTGTTTCTTACATATCTGGTGATCCTTGGTTATCTGTTCATAATTATGAAGGAATAAAGAGGGTTGGTTTGGGTAGCTGATAGTGACTTCCTCTCAGTTTTTTGAGGCTCATTTAAAAAAACACACACAAAACTTTTCTCCAAATGGGATTACTGATTGAAAATTCTACATGAATTTAAGAGCCAGAAGCAACCAGATAGATTGGGGACCTAATGTTTATTATGGACCTCAAGTATTATGAATACATTTTTCTTTTAGTTGTTTTATTTCTTCTCTCCCTACCCCATACCTCCATTTTTGGATATTTGGAGCAACCTCAGGCTCAGGCACCTTCTCTTTTGTCCCTAGCACCCATGCTGGATGCTCTTCTCGAGCAGATCTGGATACTATGCCTGGGAACCAAAGTTTATACAGGAAGTAAGACTGTCATGAGTGGCTCTGCTGTTGTGTGAGCAATCTTTTAATTGCCTTGATTTCCCTATGCTTTAATCCTGCTTCTTGACCTTGAGCTTGGCTTTTTTCTGTTTAGGGTGTTGGGACAGCTCTTGCCTCCTTATAATCCTTTCCTGTGCTTGTTTTGCTTGAGTTGTTATTCCTTCCACTATGGTTCCTCTGTCAGTTTACTCTCATTTGTTTCTTCTAGAAATCCTTTCCTTTCTTCTCTTTCTTACCTTGTTAATGAGACTGTTACTTTTAAACTATTACGAATTTATTTTGTGTAATCATGAAAAATTTGGACTTAGAATACATGTATCTGCTTCCCCTACTTAAAAAATACAATTGAAGCTCCTTATTCTCTTTTCAGAATGTATTGCATTTCCTCTCATGCATCCATTAATATTATGTGTGTGTTTCTAAACAATAAAGAGTATTGTTTTGAATGTGTTTGAGCTTTGAATAGTGATATACTGCATGAATCCTTCTGCATCTTGTTTTTTTCCACTCATCCTGGTTCTTTTGTTTAATGTCTTAGTACACTAGTTTTCCTGCTGTTTTCTGTGAAATTTGGAAGGATGTCAGCCCATGTATTTCTTACTGGTATCTTTTTAAAAGGGATATTTAAGCACCTTTTGGATATGTTGTCACTGTAGACCTTTAGGAGAAAGGACTTGGTGTTACCTAAGTCAATATGATACCTAGCCATGTTAAACAGGTAGGCAATTGAGTCTTACTAGTGACCTCTACTTGGTGTCATAAATTCCTTTGGAGATGCAGAAACACAATCCATTCATGTTTAGGGTTTCACGGAGTTTTAAATGAAGATTTGGGTTCTTATTGCTGGAAGGGTTTTCAGAGATCATTTAGTACAAACTGTATTAAAGAAACTCAGACCCAGAGAAGGTGAGTGACTTGTCTGAGGCAGTCCAAGGGGGAAATATAGGAATTAGAAATCATTGTTGCAGTTCATTGTTCTTTCCTTCTTAGTACAGTGAACCAGATGTTAAAACCCTTTTGTTAACACTGAACTTTGATTTTTCCTGTCCTTTAAAGTAATTATTTGAATACTGAGATTTTTATTACATAAAAATACACAGAAGATCTTTGAACTGATGCTTATTTGCCATATTTTCTTAGGATCAGAATGGTTTCAATCCCAGAATACTATGAAGGCAAGAATGTCCTCCTCACTGGAGCAACTGGTTTCCTAGGGAAGGTACTTCTGGAAAAGTTGCTACGGTCTTGTCCTAAGGTGAATTCAGTGTATGTTTTGGTGAGGCAGAAAGCTGGACAGACACCCCAAGAACGAGTAGAAGAAGTCCTAAGTAGCAAGGTAAGTGTGGAAAATGATCATTTGGAGGAGAGAAAATGTGTTTGTATGTGTAATCACTGCAGTCATCAATAGCTTAGTATATTTTTTCACTCTTGCAAATAATTTGTAAAAAGAAAAATCTACAGATTGACAATAAATTGAATATGACTTCTGATTGGTAAGAGAGAAAAGCTTTTCTCTATGGGGAAAAACTCATACAACACATTCTAAATTACCTTGTGATAGATATTTAATGTGATTTTAGAGTATTTGAGGCAGGTTACTTGTAATTACGAGATATTTTAAATCATCTTACCACTAATTTCTAACTGCCTACTCTGCTGTGAGACATTATGCTTTGATAACACTTTAAAATTCATAAGCATTGATTACTTCCCATGACAATATTAGAAGGGATAGCAAATTCAGGTATTCCCACTTGGTAAATAAACATGATGACAGATAGGTCATATAGAATACAAGAATATGTACTCATTTTGTACCTTTTGAAAAATGTTGCTAACAAAAAAAATGGAAATGAACTGGAGTAAAATTATTTCACAGTCAGAGCTTTTGAATTCTCAACATAATGATTTAGTATAGTGTAGATTTAGTGTAGTAACAAGTAAGTTTAGTGTAATAACAAGTCATTTATAGTTATTTGATATCTGGTAAGTTTCAACCTTCTAGAGGAACTGTGACTTTTGTTTTAGAAACAAAGACAAAACCAGGAGCCTTTTGAGTCATTCTGTGTTGTCAAAGAATTGCTGAAAGTGTGAAGAGATATCCTTAATTACAGATTATAGCACTGTGTGCCAAGCAGCCTAGATACAGTCACTGTCCTCATGGAGTTTACACTCTCTACCCCTCGTGTATTCAGTTATTAGCCAAGTCTATCTAAATTATTTTTAATTTCCCAACTATATTAATGCTCCCTCATTTTTAGGTGATTGTATGTATTAATTTCTCTGCCAGGAATACTTTCTTCTACTTTATAATCTCTTTTCCTTCCTAAACTATCTTTGTTGTTTTTCCTGTGCAGTCTTATAACACTATAATATTGTCCTTTTTTATTACTTATAACAGTATAATTTATTTATTTTTAACATAAAGTATTATTTCCGCCTCCCACTTCCATTCCTTATATCCCCTTCAGTCTTTTCTCCAAACACTTCTCCCTCTTAACCTCAGATCTCTTTGTTTACTAATGTCTGCTAGTTTTTATAACTTTTCCTTTGTAAAATTATCTACCATGTAAATATCCAGTATTTCTTTGTCATTCTGACATGCTTTACTACACATAATTCCTGCTTAACTCCTTTCATTTTGTTGTAAATGGCAGCATTTTGTCTTTCCTTATGGTTGAATAGTATTCCGGTGTATGGTATACACAACTTCTTGACCCAATTCTGTGTCAGTAGGATCTTAGAGTTCTTTCATGTCCTGGCTATCATAAATAGTGCTGCAGTAAACATTGTAGAGCATATAATTTTTTTGAGTGGATGGTTTCACTTTCTTTGGATAGATGCCCAAGAGTGGGATTATTGGGTCATATAGTATTTCCAGTTTTAGTTTTATAAGGTAAATCCAAAATGACTGCATCAGTTTATATTCTTACCAGCAATGTAATATAGTTCCTCTTTCTTCATATCCTCTCCACCACCTGTTGGGGGTCACTTTAATATATACTCTACTCATGGGTGTGGAATGATCTCATCATGATTTTAACCTGCAAGTCTCTTACTGGAGGCAGTGATGAACATTTTTCCCTTGTGTCTATTGACCTTCTAGATGTCCTTTTTAGTGAATTGTCTGTTTAGATCTGCTGCCCTTTGAGAATTTTTTTCTTTCCTTTTTTTTTTTAAATTAACCATTTTATTTTATTATTATTTTTTAAAGATTTTATTTATTTATTTATACAAGCACTGGGTACAGTCAGAAGCGCGGGAGGGTGAGAGAATTCACCTGAGCCAGAGCGGGGAGCAGAGCAGGCAGAAGGACCAAAGTACACTGCTGAGGGGAGCAGCGGGAGGCAGGAGAGGTCTGCGCGCCATGTGGGACCCTCCTCCGGTGGCCTGGCCGGGAGCAGCCGGGGATCGAACTGGCGCCACAGAGGCTGAGGGTAGCTTCACAACCCAGCGCTCAACCCCTGCGCCACCGGAGAGGCCCGAATTTTTTTCTTTTATTGCTGAATTTTATAAGTTTTTTATTTATCTTGGCTATTAACTGCTTTGTCAGTTATATAACATAGAATATCTTTTTCTGTCATTCAGTAGAATATCTTTTTCATCTGCTTATATTTTCTTTAACTGTGTAAAACTTTTTTAAATTGAAATAATCCCAGTTTCAAATTGCTTTCATTTTCCTTGCCATGGGAGTTGAGTCTCTGGAAACATCTTTATTAGTGATGTTATGAAACATATGGCCAATGTTTTCTTCTATATATTTTATTGTTATAGATCTCATATCTAAATCTTTAATTCATTTGGTATTTTTGTGCATAGAATTAGACAGAAACTCTACACCATTCTTTTTCTTGTTGCCTTCCAGTTTTCCAGCCCCATTTATTAAAGAGGCTCTCCATTCCAAGTTGTATGTTCATGGGTGCTTTAACATAAATTAAATATTGACATATAAGTGGATTTATTTCTGGGTTTTCAGTTCCGTTCCATGCATTTTTTTTCTTTTAATGCTAATAACATATTGGTTTTGGTACTGTTGCTGGTTGAAAGTCATGTGTGCGATGCTGCCACTTCTCTCCTTTTTTTCCTTAGTGGTTGCTTTTGCCTTTTGAGGCCTTTGATGGTTCCATATAAATTTTGATATTTTTTGTTCAATTTCTTTGATGAATATTGTTAATATTTTAATGGCGATTTTATTTAATTTGTATATCACTTTAAGTAGGATAATCATTTTGATTATACTGTTTCTCCCCATCCATGAGCATGGAATGTCTTTCCATATCCTAATTGCACTATCTAAATTTTTAATAATGTTTTGTAGGTCTTGTGGTATAACTCTCCTTGGTTAGGTTAATTATGAGGTATTTGATTCTTTCTGAAGCCACTGTAAATGGAATTATTTTCTTAATTTCTTTTTCTCCTTGGTCATTGTTTGTCTATAAAAATTTTTGTATGTTAATTTTGTAACCTGCTACTTTACTGTATTCCCTTTTGTTTGCTTGTTTCTAATAACTTTTTGGAGGCATCTTTGGATTTCCTATATATCATATCTGCAAACAGTGATCGTTTCACTTCTTCTTTTCCAACTTAGATTCCCTTTATTTCCAGTTGTCTGGTTGTTCTAACCAAAACCACTAATACTAAATTAAACAGAAGTAGACAGTAGGCATCCTTCTCTTGTTCCGATCTTAAAGGGGAAACTTGCAGTTTTTTCACCATTAAGTATTATATTGGCTATTGGTTGCGATATTTGATTTTTACTATATTAAGATAAGTTGCTTTTATTCCCATCTTGTCTAAAGTTTTTAATCATAAGCGGGTGCTGAATCTTATCAAATGCTTTCTCTGCTACTATTGAGAGCTTACATTTTTTATCTTTACTTATTGATACAGTGTATTGTTGCTTTATTTTTGTATATTAAACTATGTTTGCATTCCTGGGATAAATCCCACTTGATTATAATGTATGTATAATCTTTATTATATATTGTTGAATTCGATTGCCTTATAGATTTTGCATCCGTCTTCTAAGGATTTTGGTCTATATAATTTTCTTTCCTTGTGCTGTCTATCTGGTTTCATTGTTAAGTTAATGCTGGCATTGCAGAATGTATTAGGAAGCAGTCCCTTTTCTTGGATTTTTAGAAACAATTTGAGCAAGATGGGCATAAGTTCTTCTCTCAGAGTTGTATAGAATTCTCTTGTAAAGCCATTTGGCTCTAGGCTTTTGTTTGGGGGAGATTTTTCAGTTTCTGAAAAACTTTGTTCTGCAATTGAGTTGTGAATATATGAAGGAGGTGAGCCCAGTGGCTTCACTCTGCAACCATCTTGCCCAGCAAGATAAAACTATTTTAATTTTCCTATCTAGATTTTCCTATTAGACTCTAAAGTAGATTGAAGCAAATTTCATTTTTCTTTGTTTTTTCAGTATCTCTCAGATGCTTGGCTCATTTGAAATGTTTAGTAAATATTTCATTAATATAAGGACACATTAGTATTGAAGTCAATAGTAAACAATAGAAAACTTGTATACTGAAAGTCATCCAGGAAGATGAACATGAACCCTGTATAAGTGTTATAGTCTTTCTTCCTAGATTCAGTCCCTGCTTTAACCGCAAATACAGGCTTCATATAAATTGGAGAGTCAAAGTTTAATAGAGCAGTGATGTGGAAGTATCATCAATATTCCTCTATAAATGTGAGAAAGAAAACCTAAATTTGACTCATAGTTTAATGTGTCTTTACATTATCGTAATCTTGTGATCAGATTTTTAAAATTTTTTGAGTTTGCTTAAGAAATATTGAATTTTTATATATATTTCTATATGATATTTCTCAGTTTTTCCAGTTTCTAATCTGCATCTTTGCATACCAGTGTTTTTCCTTTAATATATTTACTTTTTCCTCCCCTTAAAATTTTTTTTAAAGACTTTGGGTAGAATGTGAATCATGGTATTTTACTTAAGTCGAGGAAATAAACCAAAATAAAATGAAGTGATAAATTAAGATCTGGATTTTAGAAATCTGAAAGATCGTTTTTAACATTGTTCTGATGTCTGTACTGTGTAAGTCTATTTTGAGGGTTAATATATTCTAATCCGTACATGCATGGACAGTTCAAATTTAAACTCTGCACACTACCAGTTCTTTGTCCTTGATAAGTTACTTCACCTCTCTGTGTCTCAGATTCCTTATCCATAAAATGGGGATAGTAAGGTGGGCCTAATAGAGTGTTTTCTGTATGGAAAGAATAGCAACTAAGAATAGCAACCTTAGAATTTGCGTAGATAAAGTTTTAAAAATAGTGAGCTTTCATCGGGAAAAAAGGTTATAATAAGTTTTAGAAAGTTAAAAAATAGTGCCCTAAAATAATTTTTCCTATCTGATAGCTCTTTGACAGATTGAGAGATGAAAATCCAGATTTTAGGCAGAAAATTATAGCAATCAACAGTGAACTCACCCAACCTAAACTGGCTCTTAGTGAAGAAGATAAAGAAGTCATCATAGATTCTACCAATATTATTTTCCACTGTGCAGCTACAGTAAGGTTTAATGAAAATTTAAGGTAAGTAAAGGCGTTTATATATTTGAACTTCAGAACCTAATTAAAAGGGCTAAGAGTAATTGTGTCTTAGTAAAGTTGTTTTGAAAATGATTTGAAACTGTTCATGCTGTGTTAAGTATAGCTTTTAGTCTCCTTAAGGGTCCTTCAGAATTTTCTTCCTCTTGTAAGTTTAAAAACACTGAATATTGTGTGTTTGTTAACGTACACGAAGAAGTTCCATCAATTTAAATATGGGACAGGGAGGAGGCAAATATTGAGAAATCTGGAGAGAAGAGAAGAAGGAAAAAAAGAAGAAAGTTTACCTTGAGTGGGGGTATTAATCTTAAAAATGTATTGTGTTTGTTTTCCTCTTTCCTTTATGCTCTCAGAAGCCTTTACTGTAGCTTTACTTTTCTAGTGTACACATATATCCATCTAAAATTTTTTTTTAATTATGCTCACATTTTTGCAGAGTAAAGCAAAACTGGCTTACCAATTTAAGCCATACTTTGTTTTTAAAACTTTGGTAGCAATGTTAGGGACAAGGTACATATAACATTAATTCAGTTTGAAAAATAATTTGAATTTCCTTCAAGATCATTTTCAAGAAAAAATAACATTTAAAAACTTACACCGAGACAAAAATCTAGTAATTATGCATTTCAAATAATGGTGCTTAATTCAAAACATTTTTTTCCAAGGCATGTTCAAAATACAGCTTTACAATGTTAATCTAATTGTATGGTCTTATACTAGTTAAGATGGTGTGGGCATGTTCAGGTTTCACGATTACTGGAAAAGTGTCTTGTCTTTTTTTTAAAGATTTATTTATTTATGCATATAAGAGCTGGGATGTAGGCCAGAGGTGTGGGAGGTGAGAGGATTCACCAGAGACAAAGCCGGGAGAAGAACAGGCAGATCCACTAAAATACACTGCTGAGGGGAGCAGTGTATTTTAGGAAAGGTCTACTGCGCCATGCAGGTCACCTCCCTGGCAGGGCATCGAACTTGTGCTGCAGTAACTGCGAATTGCTTTCGATCGCTTCATAGTGCTGATGTTTAACCCCTTGGGCCACCAGGGAGGCCCAGGAAAAGTTTCTTTTTAAAATGTTTTCAAGTTAAATACTGATAATAAAGGGTTTAGAGATTATCCCCCATATTGTCTTCAATGTAGAAGTATAAACCTTATGACATTAAATATGGGACAGTCAGCATCAAAGCATTACAGTATGTTTTGCCTTTATTGCAGATGAAGACACTATTATTTCGGTAATAGTGCTTTATCATTTTCAGTTTTCACCTTCATTGTTTTATTCCATGCTGACATTGCCCACTGTAATAGAGGCAAGTCCATTTTATACTTGATGAAGAAGAGGCAGTTCTGTGTAATGGAAAGGGCAGTGTTGTTCATTATTTGATGATGATAATTTATTTACTTTTTAATTCTGTGTGGCCATTATGTGTTCTTGATTCAAAAGTGACAAGAGAATCTTATTAGAAACTATAGTATAATCTAGTTTTCATTAAAATATGTGTATTTTGTGTTTACATATATACCTTTTGATATTTGACAGTTATTATCTTTGGATAGTGTAATTGCAGATAGGTTTTTAGTATGCAATCATCAGTCAAACATATTTCCCCCTACTGGAAATAGTGTTAGTCCTCTCCCTGTAGCCCCAGCATTGTCGTTAGTTTTTTTATATCTGAAAGAAAAAAATTCACACAGACTTATGAAACTTTTCAAGAAAAATATGTATGTAGATATTGGATAATTGTGGTATAGTCATCATTGGATTAAAGGGGAAATTAATGTTTTTAAGGCGGAAATTAATTTGCAGACAGGCAACATTAATTAGGATGAAACTCATCAAAGTAACCTTTATGAGGAGAAGAGGAGGAGAACCCAAGTACTATACTTTCTGGGAACCTTCTCTTTCTGTTCCCCTCAGGGTGAGCAAGGCTACCATTAATGAAAGGGAAATCTATTCATTATTATTCTTGCTTCTTTGCTGGAGGTATCATAGTGGATGGGTAGAAAGATGAATAAGAAAATTTATTGTTCTTTTCCTTGTCAAGTCATGTATATTACTTGTGTCAGGCAAGGCACAAGAGTATTTTCTCTCTGAAGTTATTCCTCATTTTCAGTGACCCAAAAACACTATCCCCATCCGCAGGAACCTGTAACAGAATATCCTTTGTGTACTTCACCCAAAACATTACTCTGTACCCAACTCTCTTTGTTTTGCAAATGGAAAAGAAAATAGCACATTGCCTTAACAATCTAGAGGACAGTGACCTCTCTGTGAAATGTCTTATTTGTTGGAGTTCTGTTTGGACAGATTTTTGCCCCTTAGTTGAGATAAAGAGGGAAAAAAGGTACACTCATGATTATAAGACCCCAGCCAATTATTTCATTGAACAGTATTTTCTTCTAATGTTTTCATAGACTCTCAGGTATTGTTAATTGAAAAAAAAAAAAAAATAAGGCACAGAAATTTTTTTCTTCTGAATTATTTCTTGTTCTTGGTGACCCAGAATGTGTTGTTCAGTCCTCAGGAGCCTGTAACAGAATAGTCTGTGTATACCTTTTCCAAAACAGTACCCTCCCATCCCTTTTGTTTTGCAGTGTCATAGACATCAAAGCACTGCTTTACAGTCAAGTAGACCAGATGCTATCTGTAACATATCCCTGCCTTTTAGAAGAACAATTGGATTTCTTTCTTCTTAAATACTGAGAATGTGAGAATTTTGGAAAGTTCTCAAAACTGTTTCTTTCTTTTTTAAAAAAAAAAAGATTTATTTATTTATGCATATAAGAGCTAGGGGTACAGGCCAGAGATGCAGGGCTGAGAGGATTCACCAAAGACAGAGCAGAGAACAGAACAGGCAGACTGACTGAAATACACTGAAATACACAGTGAAATACACTGAAATACACTGCAGTGGGTGAGACAGGAGAGCTCTGCTATGCCATGCGGGTAGCTCCCTGGCCAGCCAGGGATCGAACTTGTGCTGCAGAGGCTGCGGACAGCTTCATAGGTTGCATCTTAACACCTTGTGTCACCAGGGAGGCCCTCAAAACTATTTCTAAAAAAATTTCCTTTTGACCCTAATTGTACTTTAATAATTTTTGTAATGTGAAGATACTCCATCATGTTGATACACCATAATTTATGTAATACTCAATTAGTATAGCATATTTAGGGAATTTAATTTCTTTCTGTTTGAGAAATTAAGATTAGAAACAAGTTTTCCTCTGAGTTAATTTCAATAGGTAAACTAGATTAATACCTAAATCGGGCCTCCCTGGTGGCGCAGCGGTTGAGCGCTGGGTTGCGAAGCTGCCCGCTACCTCTGCAGCACCGGTTCGATCCCCGGCTGCTCCCTGGACACTGGGGGAGGGTCCCGCATGGCGCGCAGACCTCTCCTGCCGCCCGCTGCTCCCCTCAGCAGTGTATCTCGGTCCTTCTGCCTGCTCTGCTCCCCGCTCTGGCTCTGGTGAATTCTCTCACCCTCCCGCGCTTCTGACTGTACCCAGTACTTGTATAAATCAATCAATCAATCAATCAATCAACCTTGTATAAATAAATAAATAAATATTTAAAAAAAAAAATACCTAAATCATTTCTGTAATTCCCAATATTTTGACCTAATGTCTTTCAGATTATTTCATTTCATAGTATGAACAACAGTGTATTACTTTTTATCATTTTATTGCAACATTACTGATACACTTAATTCCACTTTTTTCCCTTCATGCAACAAGCTATTGAATAAAATTAATAGAAAGCAAAAACTACCTACCATCTTATTACCTTAATATTTATTGAATGCCTGTTTTCAGGTTTATGTTAGGAATAATGCTAAATACTTACAAGCTGTATTTTACTTAATTTGATTTTATACTAATTCTAGTAGAGAGACTGTATTATTTATTAGTATTCCTACTTACAGGTGAGGAAACTGAGACCTGAATGCTTGAGTGACTTTACAAGGTCACTCATCCTAGCTGATAGGTAGGCCAAGTTAGGATTTGAACCCAGGTCTTATTTTAGAATCTTCATAATGTATATATTTGAAAAAAATTAATACAAATTTCCCATTCTATTAATTCTTTCATTGTGGTAAAATACCTATTTTATTAATCCATTCTATTCATAATGTATATTTGGGCCCTTCTCATGTTTGCTATTGCTAGATGATTTTTTTTTTTTTTGAAGATTTATTTATTTATACAAGAACTGGAGTACAGCCCAGATGCGCTGGAGGGTGAGAGGATTCACCAGAGACAGAGCGGGGAACAGAACAGGCAGACTGGCGAAATACACTGCTGAGGGAGTGACAGGAGAGGTCTGCCGCGCCATGTGGGTCCCTCGCTGGCCGGCCAGGATCGAACCCGCACTGCAGAGGCTGCGGAAAGCTTCACAGCACAGCGCTCAACTGCCTCTGCATCGCCAGGGGAGGCCCGCTAGATGATCTTTCATTGATAATTTTTCTGTATATGAACTTTTGCATTTGTGAAATTGTTTTTTTGAATAAATTTCAAATGGAATTCTTTTGGCTGATCACCAAATTTTGATGTTGAGGTGGGGAGTTTCCCCATACCACCAAGCAGTTCTCCAAACCCAGTACCAACCAGCTGGGTTTCCTAGATTGCAGCTTAATTTTGATGCTGTCTGCTGGAGAGAGCATCAGGTGCCACAGGTGAAGGATTCAGTCCTGATGACTGCCCTCTTTAACCCCCAAATCACATGCCAGTATTAAGTCCATGTTGTGCTCTATACTTATGATTAACTGGCTGTATACCAGAGATTCTCACGACCTCTCCTTGGAATTGATTGATTTTTTAGAGCAGTTTACGGAATGAGGGATACATTTACTTACTTGATCACTGGTTTATTATAATAGCTTATTATAAAAAAGGATATGACTCACGAACAGCCAGATGGAAGAAAGGATGAGAAGATGCCAGTCCTTCTCAGAGTGCCGATCTTCCCAAGTCTTCATGTGTTTGCTTACTCAGAAGCTTTCTGAACCCTCATTAAGGTTTTAATGGAGGCTTCTTTACACAGGCATGATTGATTGTCCAGTGGCAGTTGAATCAACTTCTGGGTCCTTTTTCCCCTCTTTCAGTCTCTCTTATCACAGGATTCTGTCTCCAGTCTACCAGCTCCTATTCTTAGGTGTTTGCCAAATGTCATGTCATCAGCATAACAAAAGACTCCGTTATCATCACTCTGTATACTTGGGAAATTCTCAGGGTTTTGGAAACTATAAGCCAGGAACCCTAAATGAAGACCGTGTGTGTGTGTGTGTGTGTGTGTGTGTGTGTGTGTATTTCTTACTATAAATTACAATGTTACAGGAATATAGAGATCATTTTGAGTCTTGCATATATTTCTGGTACCAGTTTTATTATAATACCCTTTGAACTTTATAAGGTAGTCTTAAATAGATGTTTGAATTAATTACTATGAAGAGGGAAATAAGCATTCTGATTGGATTATATTTTAATGTGATTTATTATTTCTGAGTTTTCTTCTACTCTTTTATCCTTATTGGTGATTCAGCCTTAAAATAATTTTAAGATTATTTCGCTATTCTGATTTCTTCTCCTGTGGTATATCTGTATCATAAAGCAGTATGCTAAAAAATTATTATGCAAAAGATGCAGAAGTCATCTAAAATGACTTCAAATTTTATGTCTTTGAAATCTGTTTATTTTCTGGATTAATAAAAGTTTTAAATTTTACTTTCATTTTTTAATTCTGATGAGTTTATTTAATAATCAGAAACTTCTTTTAAGTTTTAAAGATAGACTGGATCTACTTTATATGGAAACAAAATGTACACAACCTGTTTGGGATTTTACTGTAAATAAAAATAGTCTTTCTCTTTACTGGAATTAAGATTGTTTCTAATAGGGTAAGTAAATGACATACTTTTCCTGTTAATCATTGTCACTTTTTCTTTTATAGAGATGCTGTTCAGTTAAATGTGATAGCTACAAGACAGCTTATTCTCCTTGCACAACAAATGAAGAATCTGGAAGTGTTCATGCATGTATCAACAGCATATGCCTATTGTAATCGAAAGCATATTGATGAAGTAGTTTATCCACCACCTGTGGATCCCAAGAAACTGATTGATTCTTTAGAGTATGTTTGTTTGAAATTTATATAGATTTGTTTTGATCCCAAAACTTTGGATCCAAGTTTTATCTATTTGTATCTCTTGGTCTATTTCAGTTTCTCTCTCCACTTCTTTCCACTTTATACTTTCTCCACTTACGCATACATTTATCTCTTTCTTAGTCCACAAATTGTTATGTATCTACTATGTTCTTTTGATTGTATAGATTGATCTAAATGATAGTCAGTGTGGAGTTTACACTTTTTACTAGGTGTGATGGTTGGAAGAAGGCTTATGAATAACTCATTCACAATATTAGAGCCCCTATTTTTCAGGGAGTCATTTTAGTGACTAAGACTTACCTGATACTCATTGAGACTAATGACTGCCTATTTGATAGCAAGGTTCTAATTTGTTAAGTGACTATCCTTTTTGTTTTCCCCAAACGGAGTATATCTATAGAGGATTCTTTTATTATTAGGGAATCAGAGGAGTCATGGTCCCTGTCCTTTCATTGATGTGCCTAGTGTTATTGTTTATAGTTTTTCTAAGGACCAGGATCCTATGAGCAATTACTGTATGAAAAATATTTGTATTTGATGGATAGGTAGTATGTGGAAAGTGTTTATACCATGACCAAGATTTCATTTGCTTTAGCCTATGCAAGTGAAACAAATAGGACCAGAACAAAAACCAAAAGTGTTCATTTTTTTAATATAAACTGATTATGAAAACATTCCATATGCATATCTTCACATATTTGTTACTCATGTAAGATTTTGTGCACATTTTCGTCCTTTTCTTCTCTTTCCCTTTAGGTTTCCTTTCTTTCCAGAGATGCAGTCCACTTTCAGCTTCTTACTCACCGTCCCCTGCTTCTTCAGGCAAATTCTATTCTTCCTGAGGGTGCTACACAAAGTCCATAGCTTTTTCTCCAAGGTGTTTCTTAAGATAAGGACTTAAGTCCTTTTCTTTAAGGCTTACCTGCTAATCACTATGATGAAGCAGATAGAGTTTTTAAAAATTGATAAATATGTGAGCTTACCGAGAAATTCTTACGGTAATTCCTTGGTTTCTGTTCTCTGATCTCATTTCTTAGGTAATCCCAGTTATTTACCTCATTTTCCTCACTGATCAGTAAGCAGAAGTGTTTAAAAAGTTAAGTGTAGAAGTTAGTGAAACCTTTTACTTTTTCTTTTATTAGTAGTCATTGTACCCAAACATCCAGGTAGCCAAGAAAGAACCTTTAACCTTCAAATTCTTTATCTCCTTTCTTTCTTTACCCCCCCCAAAAAAAAAAAAATTGAATAACATAATTTTAGGAAAAGTCATAGATACACTCTGTAAATTCACACCAATGATATTAGGCTTACTGGCTAAAGTCTCCTCAGCTTAGCCAGTTTTTGTAGTAACTCTTGAACTTTTTAAAACTGATCTTCACTATGGAATTATTCCTAAGTTGAGTAGTATCCTCTCTTCAATTTTTAATATTCTTTTTCATCTATATACAACAAGTACTTCCACATACAGAGGAAAATTTATCTTAATAAGGTTTTTTATTTATGTTTCCTCAACCTTAATAGAGTATGGCAGCCTACTGGGTATAAGGTATGCATAACATGATAGAAAATAAAGGAAAAAGGAAAGGTGTCTAAAAATAAGTACATGACATGTTGGAATAAGAAATTTAGACTGAGAAATGTCATAGATATCACCTAGCATATGACCCTTCTTTTACACATTTTCACAGTAGACCTTTTCTTCTGAGACACTGAGAAATCTAGAGGAGTTTTATGACTTCATAGGTTACTAATTGATAGAATTTATTTTTATTGTTTACTGTAGTATTTGTTGGTCTCATTAGTGAGCATTTGATTTTCGGTGCTTCACATTAAATATTTAATTACTATTTAATTATTTAATTACCCTTTTATATTAATTTAATATGTATGTTCCTTGCAAATGTATATAATTAACATGTTACATTGTTAGGTATATATAGAGATCTCTAATTCCTCATGTGAAACCCATGGAGCCAGGTGTATTTTGGAATTTATTTGGTTATAGAATACCTTAGCTAGATCTGGAGTAGCATCCTTTATCAGATACATGCAGTGTGTGAATATTTATACTCAGTGATAATAAGATCATAAATCAGTTCAGATCAGCTTTTGTTACCTACCATATGGTTTATTTTGAAAGAACATTCAATTTTCATACCTTTTTGGATATAGAAATTGAATGTAAGAGATGTGGACTTGTAGTTGATGTTTAATGAAAGTAAAAGTAACTTCCATTTTTGTTTTTAAGTTGTCACCATTTGAGTCAGTGATAAAGAGATATTTGAATGTGCAATGTTAAGTGGTTTTTCATTTTATAGTAAAACATCTGAAAACATTTTTGCATTCAATTTCTTTACCAGGTGGATGGATGATGGCCTAGTAAATGATATCACGCCAAAATTGATAGGAGACAGACCTAATACATACATATACACGAAAGCATTGGCAGAATATGTTGTACAACAAGAAGGAGCTAAGCTAAATGTGGCAATTGTAAGGCCATCTATTGTTGGTGCCAGTTGGAAAGAACCTTATCCAGTAAGTTTTGAGAATTCTTTTTAAGTAGTTGGGATTAAGATTTTTTTAGTCAGAACCCTATTTGAAAAGTTTTTAAGAGCATGCATTATTTACTGAACATGACTTACCATGGCAAAACTGTTTCTATTCTTAAAAAGACTTTTATTGATGTTTTTATTTCAGTGTAATGTAGAAATGCTGATCAACATTTTAAAAATCTTATTTGAAAATTAAATCAAAGGCTATGGTGGGACGTTGTCTGTAAGCACATTCACCTAATGAGTTTTCTCTGGCTCAAGTCTCCTCAACTTAGCCAGTTTTTGTAGCAACTATCTCTTCCATTTTTTAAAACTCATCTTCACTATGGAATTATTCCTACGTTGAGTAGTAGATTGGACTCTTGACATGTCAACATTTGTTGGCTTTTAAACTTATTTGTTGACTAGTTTTCCTTGCAGAGGTGATTGGAATAGAGATAAGAATATTCAAGATCTTATTTTATTTCATTTGCTTTTAATTACCAAGAAGAGGCAGGCCTTCCAAGAGGTAGGCTCTGCCCTGTATTGATCACAAGCTAAGAAAGATATAAGAGATTTCTGTGATTTGCTGTAGAAAAATGGCACTATGGTATTTATGAATTCTTGGTATAAGATGAAACATAACTTAGATTAATTTAGGAAAAACCTAGGTCTCTATAGTGGTAGTAAGTGATAACATGGTTTTTTTTGTTTTGGGTTTTTTTTTTTTTTTTTTTTTTTTGCTTTACAATTTTATTTTCCTTTGTAATTTTGAAGAGAAATTGTTATTTCCCCCTAATCTCAGGATACTGTATCAGCAAAGCAGTAAATAACATAAATCAAACTTGAATAGGCTTGATGTAGCACAAATACTTGATAGGTATAAACTCCTTTTAAGCAGTTTTTCTTGGCAGAGAGTTACTGGAAAAAGAGTTGGTAACTCCTTGAAAATGATTTTTACTTAGCCATTTATGCTTCCAGAGGAAGGCTGATTCTGTTTGGGATGGGGAGAAATATCCTCACCTAACCTGATCTATTTTGTAGTTTTTAGAAGAAAATTACCAGGTATATATGTAATGTAATACATTTCAAGTAATAAATTTCTAGTTTTATAATATTTCTAAGCTGCCTCCCTTTTTAATTTTTGATATTAGGGATGGATTGATAACTTTAATGGACCAAGTGGTCTCTTCATTGCGGTAAGTAAACCTTTTGATGTTTTTAATATTCTGTATATTTTTCTGTTTTCTATACATCTTTATATGTGTATGTGGACTGTTTTATATATCTTAAGGTGTTGTTTTTAATTTCAACAAAGGCAGGGAAAGGAATTCTTCGAACAATGCGTGCCTCCAACAGTGCCCTTGCAGATCTTGTTCCTGTAGATGTAGTTATCAACACGAGTCTTGCAGCAGCCTGGTATTCCGGAGTTAATAGGTATATGAGGTGACAACACCACTTGTTAAATCTATAGTAACTGAGAGGGGAAAACAGAACTAGTGACTCATGTTAATTAACCCCTCAAGCCTGATAGTCCCATTCCAGTACATATAGGCATTATTGCTTCCAACTGTAAGAGTTTATCGCAGGCAATAAAGTGGTTCCATCAGCAATAATTAAGAATTAGCAATAATTTTCTTGTACTTCCTATAGGATAGACAAGTTCATTAGCAATTAACAATGAAATAAAAGGCCTGCCCCCACCCCCATGATTTTTTTCCCCAAAACTAAAATTTGGTATAAACTAGCCTATATAAAGAGCCGAAATGCACAGAGAATGGCTTACATTTATCTAATATGGCACACTAGAGCAGCTTAAGGTCTTCAGTGTAATGCTCTCCCAACTGAATATTTTGGCTATAGAGCAGCTTTAATCAATTCATGATTCTCCTTTTAAAAGGGAATAATAGCATTTACAAGTAAACTTTAAGCTTCTCAAGGACATTTTCTCCTTTATTAATATAGTGTCCTATATTTGAAGTGAGTATTTTATATCTTAGAAAAGGGTGTGATTTATTGTTTTTAGTAAGAGGGACTAAGCCCAAAATGTCTTTTAATTAAAACCTCTGCAAATGGGAAGGTGATAGGAAGAGCTGAGATTGATTGTTGCTGTTGTCCTTAAATTAAAACAAATACTCCTCCTAATACAAGGAAGAAAAATATGAAAAGAAGGAAATCTATGTCTTTATAAATAATTATTTGTTAGGGTAGGGGAAAATGGTAATTATAAATAGTTATTCAGATACAAAAATTAATCCTTTGAGGATAAATTGTAGAAAAGGTACCAATCATCCTCATTTCTTCCTACTTGAATAGCATGCAAGATTTAGTTTGGATGAATTTGTCTTCCTTTTGTGATTCAATGTTTTGATCTTTGTCTTTGCAGACCAAGGAACATCATGGTGTATAACTGTACAACAGGCAGCACTAATCCTTTCCACTGGGGTGAAGTTGGTATGATTTTACCTGTGTTTTTGAATGTTAGAATAAATCTTACAGAACTTAAAATGTTTACTGAATTTTTGTTAGGAACTCCCCCCTCCCCCCCGAGACATTAAGGCCACCAAGTTCCCAATTTTAATTGCCATTTTAGAATAGCTACAAATACTGCCTTGTTGTTCTTAGTAATCTTTGGCAAATTTAAAAATATCTTACTATCCCCTTCCTGTCCCACCTTTGTCTGACCCATACTATTTTTTTGCTGTCATCTACAGCAAGTTTCATATGTACATGTTGTGTGGAAACAGTGCTTTTTTCCTCCCTCACAGACATTCTCAAGCCTGATTTTGCCTACCCATAGACTTCCAGCTACACAAGTTGGCATATCTGAGGAGATAGCTAGTGATCCCAAGAATAATAACTAAAGGAATTAGCAAGTAGGATACATTTTGCCAGGATATTTTCTATTACACTTAGTAATTTATTTAAATTCAAAAATTCATAGCCGTTATATGTATGCTGTTGTTTAAAATAAAAATAGTACAACTTAAAGTCTACTGAAATTGAATCATTTTAAGTTGTTGGTTTATGTTTCCAAATTTAAAGTAAAAATATCTTTGTGGTATTTAGTAAGAGGTTTTGTTTTACCCTAAATTTTTGTTACTCTTGCAGAACATTTTTGATTTTAAAGTCAATCCTTTATGTCATTTGTTCTAGGGCTTTTCTATCACTTTTTTATTTCAATTTGAAGATTAACTATTAGAACTTCTAAGAAAAATCTAGGATGATATTAATTTATGATAATTATTTAAATTAATATTCTTTTTAAGAATTTTAAAACATTTTGAATGACTTAGATTATTTGTAATATTTTATTGTGTTGTTAAATTTAGAAAAATCAAAGTGAACATCATTTTTTATTGAATATCAATATACATTTCCATTAAAATATTAACATAGATGATAATAGATTTGATTGTGTTGACATTGCATAACCTAAATACATTGCAGCAGAAGTTAATTTTGGGTTGTTTTAAGCTTGTTGGTATATGTTTATTTGAACAACTTAATTATTCATAAGCAAAGGATGATGATTTTCCTTTTCTTTTTTAAGTAAGTACAGTAATAAGAATCTGGAAAGAGGAACAGAAAGAAAGAAGCTATCGTAAGAGGTGAAATATAGAAAGTAACATTGTAAAATGACGTAGGTAAAACAAAAGGATTTTTAAGAGTGAATTTTAGCAAAAATTCATTCATCTAATTAAAATTCATAAATAGTGGCAGTCCTAAAACCACTTGAGTTCAGCAGTCTAATACCCATATTCTCTTAGCTACCATAGTTGAATAGACAAGTTTGTTTTTCAAATGAGCGAACTCTGACATCTTTGGTAAAATATTTTGCTTTGTAAAAACATGATTTTTTTCAAAACTTCATTACATGGTTGTTATCAAAGCTGTTACACAACTTTTCTTCCTCAGAATACCATGTAATTTCCACTTTCAAGAGGAATCCTCTCGAACAGGCCTTCAGACGGCCCAATGTAAATCTAACCTCCAATCACCTTTTATATCATTACTGGATTGCTGTAAGCCATAAGGCCCCAGCATTCCTGTATGATATCTACCTCAGGATGACTGGAAGAAGCCCAAGGTAATGGTGACTAGCTCTGTCTTATCTGTTCCTCTGACTGTTAAACAACCCATGCTTACACTAAACTGCATATTAACTCTGTATTTGTTTATGCTTATGATAAGGCTTAATGGCCTTTTGTGAATGAGAAGACTTGAATTTAAGACTTTGTCAGAAAAGCAAAGGTAGTGTTGTAATTTAATTTATTCTAAAGTTTGGATTATTAATTATTGTCATGTGCTGAATTCTAGGTCTAATTTTAGGCTTTTTTCTGAATAACAAATAACACTCAAAATGCTTTGATGCTTATTTTTCCTACAGGATATTATCTAAATCATTCCTTCAAGACGAATCCTTTAAACCAAGTATTAAGGCGCCCCGATATTAAGTTGTATTCCAACAGCTTATTGTTTCATTGTTGGAAGGGTGTCAGAGATACAGTACCTGCATTATTGCTCGATCTTGCACTCAGGTTGACAGGTCAGAAACCGTGGTAAGAGGAATAGCAGTAAATACACTATGTATTGGTAAGGTGGTGGAAGCTTGCTGGAGAGACAAAAAGTCGCTAGCATGAGCTTTACCTTTAGAATTACTAACCTGATTAATCACAATCACAATCAGGGTGCTGGGACATTTCTTAGAAATTGAGGATACATGGGGAGACTGAATCTCATCTTACTGGAACATTGATCCTCCAATACCCATAATAGAGGAAATGTCCAACACCAAGTTTGTCATTGTTATTATAAGCTGAAATAGAGCCCTTCTCTCCCCCTTAAAAACTTAGGGGTGAGTTTTATAGGGGATTAAGGGTAAAAATGTTTTGTTTCAAGTTCATTGTGCAGTTTTAAATGGAAAACATAGGATGCTGCTAGAAAATTAATTGATTTCAGCTGCCCATTCAGCTTATAATATGGTAATTAAAGTTTTTGACTAATTTTCCAGGTTGAGAATGTCATAGTTTAAAAGGTTAATAACAAATGGAAAAGTTCTATTTTTATTAATGGTTGTTACAGCCTTTCTTTCTCCTTTCTTCTCTTTCTACTGAACCTCCACAAACCTAGTTTCTTGCTGTTTTTACCACAATTATAGTAAAATGTTCTATAAAAATATTTATTTTTTTTTAACTACATTGGCATTACAATGAAGCCTTTGATTGGAGAGTCAGGATTTGAGTATTTATGTGTAAAGAAGATGCTGATTTCAGAACTTCCATCAACTGCTCAAAAATAAAAAGTGAGGTATCTGCCAGTTACAGCGCATCAGGATCTGAATTACTTGTAGGGATTTTCTGTGGATTCACTTGTCCAGTATGTTCCTAACCTAGCATGTTAAACATTGGAATATGTGGGAGGTGTGGAACTGAACAACTTTAGAATAGGTAAAGAAATACTTAAGGGGAAAAAGCTCTAAAATATATCAGAATTTTCAGGTTTTTCTGTAGAAAAACCTAGAATTATCTGTAAAGCACATTATTTATGGTAAAAAAAAAAAGCAGGTAGAAATTTATGAGTGATGGCAATGCATGTTGCTTTCTTGATAGTAATAAATTTGTTTCACATTAGAGCAGAAAAGTCAAAACTGGGTCAGAAAACTTAATGTATCTCACTGCCTTATATAGAAATTGGAACTTAGTAAAATTTTAAAAATGAATAAACAGCAAAGTTTAAAAAATAATTTATAGTAGATATTGCTGCATAACAAATCATCTCAAACTTAGTGGCATAAAATGACAGCAGTAATTTTCTTATCACTTTCATCTTATTATTTCTTTCTGGATTTAGAAATTCTAGAAGGAATCAGTTGGGCAGTTTTAGCTGGGGAGGAGGAGGTTTCATATGTGTATGGTCAGATGGCATGGAGAGGGGGGTCCTGCAGTGAAATAGCTAGTATCTTTGTCACTTCATGTAGTTTCTGCAAGGACTAGTAGTTGTCTTAAGGGAGTTGTAGTGCTTGTGTGGTTACTTACCTACCTCAGGAAAACATATGGCACTACTTCCACCTTAAATTCTTTTAGTCACAGGTGAGTCATAAGTCCTCCAAGGTTTAAAGTAAAGGAAATACAGAGAATGGTCAAGATCATGTAGGGCCTCCCTGGTGGCGCAGCAGTTGAGCATTGGGTTGCGAAGCTGCCCGCAACCTTTGCAGCGCCGGTTCGATCCCCGGCCGCCTGGCAGGGGTCCCACATGGCACACAAATCTCTCCTGCTGTGCCCACTGCTCCCCTCAGCAGTGTACTTCGTAAGTCTACCTGTCCTGCTCTCCACTCTGGCTCTGGTGAATTCTCTCACCCACCTGTGCTTCTGACTATACCCAGTGCTTGTATAAATAAATAAAATAAATCTTTAAAAAAAAAAAAGATCATGTTGTAAATAAGCAAGTGGGGTAAAAGGTATTGTTGCAGCCATTTTTGGAAAATGCGTATCTGCTGTAGTCAACCTTTTGGCCACAACAGTTCATATTCCTTCCACATGGAAAATGCATGTGCTTCTTCCCCTCCAAGATGCCTCCTTCTAACATTGGTTTGAAGTCAGTGTTTGGGCAATGAAATCTGGTGCTGTTCCAAAATGAGGCTCTTTAGGTGGTATTGCAAGTATGATTCCTCAAGTATTAGACTGAAAAGCTATGAAATACATTAATCAGTTACCTCCTGCCCATATACCCAACATATAATGGTTAGACAAGTATAGCAAAATTATTTTAGACAATCTTGATCCACAGAAAGAAATAGGAAACATGCAGCCATCTCAGGTCCATAACAGTTCTGAATTCCAATTGGCTATGTAATGGTTTCTTAGGGTTCATTTCTGCTCTCTGGGAGTTTTCTGAGGCTCTGAGCTTTACTTTCTGAGTCATCCACCTTTTTCCATTAAAAAATGGCCTCTTTTTTATGGAGCTGAAAGGATCATGCTCAGTGAAATAAGCCAGAAGGAAAAAGAAAAATATCGAATGGTTTCACTTGTAGGAGGAATAAAGAGGAACCAAATAAGGGATCAGGAAAAAAAAAAATAACGTAAATAATAAAACAACAAAAATTAGCAGGCAACCATAAATCAGAGACATTCTGTGAGGGAGAAGGAGGAAAAGGAATCACACCAGGGGAGAGGAGAGCACAAGGGACTATGGTAATAGTTAATGGGTGAACTGGTGGTGGGGATTTTATCGGGAATATACAATGATGTGAAAGATATAAATAAAAAAATATTTAAAAATGGCCTATTCGCAATTTTAAGTCTTTTCACTCTTCTTCCTGCTGTGAAAAATTGGGAATCCCCAGGGCAGATATTGGCAAACTTTCTATAAAGGCCTGTGTAGTAAATATGTTAAGCTCTGGGGACCTTATGGTTTCTATTGCAATACTCTATTTTTTTTTTAGATTGATTGTTTTTATTTATGCATACAAGAACTGGGGTGTAGGCCAGAGGTACGGGGAGGTAAAATGATTCACCAGAGACAGAGTGGGGAGCCGAACAGGCAGATCTACTGAAATACACTGCTAAGAGGAGCAGAGGGCGAGACAGGAGAGTCTTTGGTGCCATGTGGGTCAGTATCCCTGGCCGGGGATCTAACTCGTGCTGCAGTGGCTGCAGATAGCTTCATAGTGCTGAGACTTAACCCCTGCACCACCAGGGAGGCCCCTGCAGTACTCAAGCTTACTGTTAAATGTAGCTTCCACCTTTCATCCACTCAATTCTGCAACCATAAACATTATGTAAATAAATATTTACATAGTCTAGTAAAATTTTATTTACAAAAATAGATGGATTTGTCATATTGTCTCTGGTTTGCTGACCCTTCATCCAGAGGCCTCTCTTCCTTTTGTACTTTATCTTTTAAGTGTAAACTGATGATTCCTTTTAAATGTGTGGGTTTCCTATGTATTTATTTTGAGACAATTGTCGATCCAAAACCATTTGGCCTCCCTGGTGGAACAAGGGGTTAAGCGCAGCACTATGAAGCTATCTACAGCCTCTGCAGCACAAGTTCGATCCCCGATCAACCAAGGAGATACCCACATGGCGCAGCAGACTTCTCCTGTCTCACCCGCTGCTACCCTCAGCAGTGTATTTCAGTCAGTCTGCCTGTTCTGTTCCCCACTCTGTCTCTGGTATATCCTCTCACCTCTCCCCGCACCTCTGGCCTGTACCCCAGTTCTTGTATGCATAAATAAATAAATCTTTTTTTAAAAAAACCCATACCCATTGATTTTCAGACATGCCTTTCTCTATCCTGAGTCCCTTATGAAGCTGCTCTCGAACAACATCCTTAAATCTTAGATCTTGACTCTTAGATCCTACCTCTTAAAACAGTAGGGTTTCTTTGAGGTCCTATGAGGATTTCTGTCTCTATAAGATCTGGAGAGCCTTTTGTTTATATGAGTTAGTTCTTTAGACCTTTCTAAAGTCTTGAATCTTTACATTTGCATTCTGACTTTGATCTGTGCTCAGAAGCCCTTTCTTAAGGGAATTCCTGGCTGGTATTTTACTTTCCCTTCAAATTCTACTCACATAGTTTATTTTTTAAGATAACTTTGTCCTATTTGAGTAACTCTTGGCTAGATCATTGAATTTCTATGTTACCATAGGTGACAGTTTTGTTTTTCCAACTTCCAACATTTTTTTCACTTCCCTTTAAGCTGTAAGCAGTTTCCTTAAAACCCTTTAAGGTATCCACTAACATTCTAAGTTCTTCCAGGTTTTGTCAGTGGTCTCTTCAGGGGCCTTCCGCTTTCTTTCTACCACCTGATCCTAAAGCCAAAATACTGTGTGTTTCATTTTTTTGTTTATAGCAGCCTCTAATTCTAAGTACTGGGATCTTTCTCTATTATCTGTGTTGCATGATGAAGCACCTCAGATTCAGTGTCTTCAAACAATAATCATTTTATTTCTCATGATTTCTCTGTGTCAGGGATTCTAGAAGGCTTTGACTGGATGGTTCTGACTTAGTGTCTTTCAGGTGGTTGTAGTCAGATAGGGTCTGGAACAGGTACACTGGAGGAGAGTGTTAAAGGAGAGAGTAGTTGGGTTGACCAGGCATCTTTCTCTCACGTAATCTCAACCTCTCCATGTGGTTTCTCCACATGGACTACTTTGGGCTTCCTCACAGCATGGCAGTCTCTGGAAATTGGATAAAATACATGTGACTAAAGACCTCAAGGTTGTGAGTATTCTAGTGAGTAAGGCAGAAAGACCTATAACCTTTTCTTATCTGCCCTTGAATATTACCCAGTGTCATTTCTTTCTCATTCTATTGGTCAAAAGTTATCTTCACCTCTTGATGGGAAGATAGTCATAGTGACTTGGGTGAGCATGTAGGATGGGAGATAATACTGCAGCCATCTTTGGAAAGTAAAATCTGTATCAAATAGGAGATATCAAATAAAGAATCTTCTGACCTGAGGTTTATCCTGTGTGAGACTTTATAGGTTTCAAACAGGAATGATCTTTGACTGCTAGGAGCTTCAAGTCTAAGAGATGTAAAGTTTTTTTAATTTTGGCAGTGTTAAGTACAAAGTCTTTATAATTTATATTTTAATTTGTTCAGATATATATTGAGCAAGTTACTAGGCTTTATATATTGTATTGGGAATGCAATATAATGCCCAGTTCTATATTTTAACTGATATTAATCATGTCATTCATGATGTCCATTTTACTCAGTTTCGTTATTCTGAGTCAGCTAGATAAAAATCTGTCTTGCTATATGTCTGGACATAGTTTTATTTTTATATATTTGGTATTTAAAAGCAGTTTTATTGAGATCTAGTTTGCATGCCATAAAACCCACCCAATGTGAAGCATCCCATTCAGTGGCTTTTAGCAAACAGAGTTGTGTAACCTTCACCAATCTAATTTTCAAACATTCTGTAACATTAAAAAGTACAGCTCAGATGCATCATTCTGGTTCCTGGTCAATAGTCAATGGAGATTAGGATGCATCATATTATCACATGTGGAAGCAGTAAAAACTGACATTTAAAACTTTTTTCCATGGTCTTGTTTTTGGTTATTTAGCTTAACATCTCTGAACCTGATCTTTTTTTATCTATGTTATTCTGATTGGAGATGATTTTGCCTCAATTGGGACTTTTGACAATATTTGAACATGTTTTTAGTTGTCGCAACTGGGGTACTACTGGCATCTAGTAGGTAGGGATCCAAGGGTACTGCTGAGGTCTTACAGTGCAGAATACACCCCCTTCTCTCTCCCTGGTCCCCGCCCCCTCCAACACACAACAAAGAATCATTGGACTCAAAAATTAAGTGCTGAGGTTGAGAAATGCTGCACTAGATGGGTATTGAATCTTGCCCTAATCTACAGGATTGTGATTCTTTTTGCAGGTTGCCATAATATAGAATAAATAAATACTCAGCTTGTATCTGTCAATGTTAGCCCCTGGCATCTGCTCTTATAGCATGCTTAACCAAAGAGTGGCAATGCAACTTTTAAGTTTCTTTTTATTCCTGGTAGTATTTAATCCGGTAACTTTTATTTCCTTATAAATGCTCTGTGAACTTCATATATATATGGTCTTTCAAATTTCCTTTCTCCCTCTAGTCTTTCTATTATAATTATTTTTGATTGGCTGAATCAGTGATTGGTTTTAGGGTAATTATGATACTTGACTGAATCTGAAGCTAAGCCTAGGTGAGAATTGTCAGTGATAAAGAGTTAGGAAGAAAAACTTTTAATAAGATTTATGTTGGAAAACCATGTTAACCAAGTGTGTGTTTGTGTTTGAATCAAGTATATTGTACTGGCTCTGATAGTAACTGTTGATTTGTTTACAAATCTATTATGTCTTTTGTTGTTTTCTAGAAAATAAATTACCAATCTCTTCTCTAAAAGCAGCCTGTCTTGTTTTCCCCCCACGTGCTTTCTATTTATTTGAATCTTTCCTGTCCAAATATAGCGTTTGATTGATGCTTAATAATTATTTTTGTGTTTAGTGGAAGTTTTATTTTAAAACTACTTTTTTGCTTGAGCTGCAGTATTTATGTTAGTCCATGTTGCCCTTTTTTCTCCCAGTATTCTGAATTCAGGATTTCTTTGTAAATACAGTGATTATGTGATCAGAATTACTTAGCTAATATTACTGTTTTGATTTTTCCTCCCATTTTTAATGCTCTGATTTTCTTCCATTTCCCCCATTTCTAAAACCCCAAATTTTTGTGGGACTTTCTGAAACACATATAATGTTAATCCTTACTGTGGGACTATAAATAAAATAATTTTAAATTATTTCTTCATAAATTATTTTTCTGTTTATTAGAGGTTAAGAAGTTTTGGTGTGTTTTGTTTCAAAAGATTCTTTCCTTTTTCTACTTATCATAGGTAATTATTATTGTATAACTATTACTTCTCAAAGTAGTGTTATGAGATCAATGACTTACAGTGACTCAAAATTTATAAAATGACAGATTTAAAGATTAAGGTTCCTCAAAATTTTAAAAAGAAAAAAGAATGTATTGAACGTCCTTATTTCTCTAAGGGTGGATATTGGGGATTTGGGGAGATGAGATCTTGAATTTCTGTTTCAGAAAGTTTTTAACTCGAGTCATTGATACCACAGCACATCCAGATAACCAAAAGTGATCTGGCAATGTTAAGGAGAAAATTATTTTAAAAGAATATATAGATTTGGAAAGAGTTGATTAAAAGCTAAATGAATATTTCTGTATACTTTGTTTCCATGAGACTAAAGAGTTGAGATTATAATGTAACACAGTATGAGCTCCCAGGAAATCTTAGAGATTGTAGTTGAACTTAATAAAATGTGGCTTAAGGAACAAAGCACCAGGGATTACTAATTGAGTCCATTTGTTTGTAGGAAATTTGACCTTAAAAATTATTTTTCATTTTGGATTTGTAAAATGTATTCAAAGTTGCAGAAATATTCTTAGCCCCTGCTGATTTGGGTATTCATAGAATTACGTATTACAATTTTAATGGTAACGTGTCAATATAGAAACTGGTGTCCTGGGTGGTGATATTTTTCCTAATCTATGCAAAATGTGAATCTTTCAATTTTTCTTATAATACAGGATGATGAAAGCAATAACTCGTCTTCACAGAGCTATGGTGTTTCTTGAGTATTTCACAAGTAATTCTTGGGTTTGGAATACTGACAATGTCACTATGTTAATGAATCAGCTTAACCCTGAAGATAAAAAGGCAAGTATTTTCTGCTTTATATTAGAAAGTAAATAGCATACTGATTAGAGAATCATTTGCAACCTTGAGGAATGATTAGATATTTTCTACAACCATTGTATTACAGAAAGTCATTGCTCTTCAATCATAGGGCCTCCCCGGTGGCGCAGCGGTTGAACGCTGGGCTGTGAAGCTGCCCACAGCCTCTGCAGCGCCGGTTCGATCCCCGGCCGCCGGGCGAGGGTCCCACATGGCGCGCAGACCTCTCTTGCCGCCCGCTGCTCCCCTGAGCAGTGTGCTTCGTCAGTCTGCCTGTTCTGTTCCCCATTCTAGCTCTGGTGAATTCTCTCACCCTCCTGCACCTCTGATTGTATAAATAAATGACTGTATAAATAAATAAATCTTAAAAAAAAATTAAAAAAAAAAACTTCAATCATAATTGGTGGTGGTTAAATAAAGTTGTTTCATTTATAATATAAAGTACTTGAGAGTAGTAAAGATATTTTCAAAATGTTATTGAAATGTTGATTTTTCTCTTTAATGTCAGTTTTAAAGAGAACTTTGACCTCTTTCTTTGCTGTTAACATTTTGAGAAAACTACATATTTTGCACTTGTTAGTTTGAAACTTAAACTCTTTGTATGTATTCCTTTTGGGATTGTTTCAAGCATTTTAGTGTACAGAGTATAAATAAAGCAATTTCTGTAGCCTCTTAATGATATATGTAACCTTAAAATACTTTATTTTTCATATTAACTCTTCAAATATTTTAGCTGTGATTAATAACCTAATATGGTTGTTTAATACCTTAGTTTTCTATTTAAACCTCATAATTAGAAGTTATTTTGTTTAGTCTTATTTAAATTTATATTTTCCAGTGTCTTTGCTAATAGATATTCTTTTTAGGATCATTTTCTTTCTGTCTGCAATATATCCAGAATACCTGAATATGATTTAGTGGGAGTCAGTTATTAATACATTCTCAGTTTTTAACTGACGTGTCTCTTTGTTTTTCTCATTTCTATAATACAACTTTAGCAAATTAATGATAGCTTTTTTGATTATACTTTCATATCTGTCTTACGTTGTTGCTATTGAAAAGTTAGTGTAATTTGCTGCTGCTTTACAGATGATCTATTATTCCTGACTCCTTTTCAGAATCTTTATATTTGGTATTCTACATTTTTAAAAAATTATCTTGTTTTGTTTGGGCTTCCTGGACCTGAAAGGTTTTTTTTGTTTGTTTGTTTTTGTTTTTTAAGCAACTCAGGAAAAAACTTAATGTTTCTTCAAATATTACCTCTTCATCATTCTTTTCTTGTGAATTGTTAATATATATGTTGTTCTCACCTTTAGCTCTTTTAACATTAATTTTCATGTTTTGTATCTCTTTGTTTCTGCCTGAAAGCTAGATAATTTATTTATTTTCTGTGGCACTCTGTCAGCTATGTCTAAACCACCCAATTAAATTTTGGGGTTCACTAATTATATTTTCATTTTTAGAAATTTAGTTTTTTTCTAAATCTCATAGACATTTCTGAAATAATCTTCAGAATTTTTTCCTTGAAATATTAAACAATTGTTTTCAGTTCTATTTCAATAATTCAAACTTGTAAAGGTTATGCAACATCTGCTTTATATAACAACAGCTTTCTGTGATTTAGACTAGGACTCATGGTTCCTTGTTTCTTTGTTGCTTTGACTGTAAATTCATATTCCTTGAGAGTTTCTAAGGGTAGTTTTTCAAGCCTAGATTGAAATTGTACTTTACTAGTAAGGATTTGCTTTTGCTTCTGCCAAAAGCCTAGTGAATCTTTGTATCATCAATAAGGTGGCATTAGCAAGCCAGTACCACTTTAAAATATCTGAGTAGGTTTTTAGCATGACTTGATGAATTCAGGCCTTAAATTGGCTGTAGAGCTGGTTCTTGATTACAGTGTCTCAACGGAGATTTTTTTTTTTTAATTTTCCTGGTGCTAGTTTCCTTTCTCTTCACACTTTTTAAAACAATATAGCTAAAGTTATATCACATAGTTTGAAGAAGTTTTAAAAAATTATTTAAAATTTAAAAAATTATTTAAAGAGTACTTTACTTTCTGTTTTTCATACTGAGCCTTCAAAATCCAATATGCATTTTTATAATCTAGCCCCTAAGTTCAGAGTAGCACATTCCATATGCCTCATAGCTACATGTAACTACACGATTACCATATTGGAAAGATTTAATTTTTTAGTGGTTCTCCGATAAGTCCGCAAAAGTCCAAAAGTATGGTGTTTCTCTGCACACTTCTATGTGTAGTGGGTTTACTACTTCACCTTTGCTACTAGACTATAGCTGTATGAATTATTATATTTCTGCAGGAGTGTTCTATAACAAGACTTAATTTATGGGACCATAGGCTTTCTTGCCTGCACCCTCAAAAGTAGGTTTAAGTTACCCAGTGTCCTGCTGATAATTTGAGGTTGAAAGATTTACGACTTTTGTTGATTGTTTGCTTTCTCCCTTCCCTACCTCCACTCTATACAACACATACTGTGCAATGGATTATTAGAAAGTGAGTATTCAGGTGAAGAAAAGAACATTATTACCCCAAGAAGGTGCACTTATGCCCCCTCCCAATCACTGCCTCTTTTCTACTCTAACATTAAATGTTTTTTGTTTTACCAATTTTTAACTTTATATAAACAATGTTATGCAGTAATTTTTCATTCTTTTGTTGGTAAGTGTTTGGAATTAACTTATAGGAAAAGTAATGAATTTTTGACTAGTTGTAAAAGATATTACTCAAGAAAGTAACCATTATCTTTTTTGTTTTATGTAGACCTTTAATATCGATGTAAGGCAATTACATTGGGCAGAATATATAGAGAACTACTGCATGGGAACTAAGAAGTATGTATTGAATGAAGAAATGTCTGGTATCCCTGCAGCTAGAAAACACCTGAACAAGTAAGCGTTACATGGGTTTGACTTTGTTTTGTTTACCTTATGAAATATTGCACTTGTGTTTTTTTTTTCTTAGCTGGTAGAATGAAAGGCATTTCTAATACTCCGTAGAGAAAATGCTTACCTTTGGAGTTAAACTACAGTAGTATTGATTTAACCTAAGATTGCTGAAACTTATTTATCAGTTTATAGTGTTCCTAAGCACTATGTGCAGGTACAATTTAGTTTTAAAAAACACTATTATTGGGCCTCCCTGGTGGCGCAGGTGGTTGAGTGCAGTGATGTGAGGCTGTTCGTGGCCTCTGCAGTGCCTGTTCAATCTCCGCCCAGCATTGGAACAGGCCACATGGTGAGCAGACCTCTCCGGTCTCGCCCACTGCTCCCCTCAGCAGTGTATTTCGTCAGTTTGCCTGTTCCGTTCCCTGCTCTATCTCTGGTGAGTCCTCTCACCCTCCCGTGCATCTGGACTGTACCCCAGCTCTTGTATAAATAAAATAAATCTTTTTTAAAAAAAAATCACTATTATCTACTGCAAAGTAAAAAGGTAGAAGTATTTTTAAATTAGAGGGTTCTTTTTTTTTTTTTTTTTTAAAGATTTATTTATTTATACAAGCACTGGGTACAGTCAGAAGAGCGGGAGGGCGAGAGAATTCACCAGAGCCAGAGCGGGGAGCAGAGCAGGCAGAAGGACCGAAGCACACTGCTGAGGGGAGCAGCGGGCGGCAGGAGAGGTCTGCGCGCCATGTGGGACCCTCCTCCGGTGGCAGGGGAGCAGCCAGGGATCGAACCGGCGCTGCAGAGGCTGCGGGCAGCTTCGCAACCCAGCACTCAACTGCTGCGCCACCGGGGAGGCCCTCTTTTTTTTTTTTTATAATAAATTTTATTTTTATATTCCCCATACAATTGCAACCCCCCCATTCTGACCCCAATCCCTCCCCTCCCGCCCCCACCCCCCAAAAAGTGTCTCTGGTTCATAGTTTTTTGTTGATTTTGATTTTCACTTTCTTATAGTTATTCATTTTCCTGGTCCCTTATTTAAGTTTTCTAGATTCCTGCTATGAGTGAAACCATCCAGTATTTTTCTTTTTCTTTTTGGCTTATTTCACTGAGCATGATCCCTTCCAGTGCCATCCATGTTGCTGCAAATTGCATGTGTTTATCTTTTTTGAATGCTGAGTAATATTCCATGGTATATATGTACCACATCTTCTTGATCCAGTCATCTATTTTTGGGCATTTGGGCTGTTTCCAAAGCTTAGCTATTGTAAACAGTGCTGCTATAAACATAGGTGTGCAGGTGCTCTTTGGAATTGATGTTTCTGTGTCCTTTGGGTAAATACCTAGGAGTGGAATTGCTGGATCATATGGAAGCTCTATGTTTAGTAGGTCCAGAAATCTCCACACAGCTCTCCATAGTGGTTGGACCAGTTTGCACTCCCACCAACAGTGCAGGAGAGTTCCTTTTTCTCCACAACCTCGCCAACATTTGTTGTTGCTAGTTTTTTTAATATGTGCCATTCTCACTGGTGTGAGATGGTATCTCATGGTAGTTTTGATTTGCATTTCCCTGATTACAAGTGATGGTGAACATTTTTTCATATGCCTGTTGGCCATTTGCATTTCCTCTTCAGAGAAGTTTCTTTTTAGCTCTTCTGCCCATTTTTTGACTGGGTTATTTTCTTTGTTGTTGTTGAGTCTCATCAGCTCTTTGCAGATTTTTGTGATCAGTCCTTTATCATTAGTGTTGGGTGCAAAAATGTTCTCCCAGTCAGTGGGGTTTCTCTTTGTTTTTGTTATTGTCTCTTTTGCTGTGCAGAAGCTCTTTAATTTGATGTAGTCCCAGCTGTTTATCTTTGCCTTCACTATCACTGCTTTGGGTAATGTATCTGTAAAGATGTCTTTGATGTGCAAATCACGTAGTGTTTCGCCTATATTTCCTTCTATATATTTTATGGTTTTCAGGTCTTATGTCTAGTTTTTTAATCCATTTTGAGTTGATTTTTGTGTATGGTGTGAGGTAGTGGTCAAGCTTCATTCTTTTGCATGTAGCAACCCAGTTTTCCCAGCACCATTTATTGAACAAACTTTCTTTGCTCCATGCATAGTCTTTGCTCCTTTGTCAAAGATTAGTTGACCATAAATCTGTAGGTTTATTTCTGGATTTTCGATTCAATTCCATTGGTCTGTATGTCTGTTCTTGTTCCAATACCATGCAGTTTTGATGATTATGGCTTTGTAGTAGAGTTTGAAGTCTGGGAGTGTGATGCCTCCATTCCCTTCTTTCTTTTTCAGGAGAGCTTTGGCAATTCGGGGTTTTTTGTGATTCCATATGAATTTCATCAATAATTGTTCTATTTCTTTGAAGAATGACATTGAAATTTTGATTGGAATAGCATTGAATCTGTATATTGCTTTTGGTAGGATGGCCATTTTAATAATGTTTATTCTTCCAATCCATGAGCAGGGGATGTCTTTCCATTTCTTTGTGTCTTCTTCTATTTAACAGTGTTTTATAGTTTTCTTTGTAAAGGTCCTTTACCTCTTTTGTTAGATTTATTCCCAAATATTTGATTTTTTTTGTTTCAATAATAAAAGGGATGGTTTTTTTGATTTCTTCTTCAGATTTATTGTTTGTTTATAGGAAGGCTACTGACTTTTGTGTGTTGATTTTGTATCGTGCCACTTTACTGAACTGATTGATGAGTTGAATTAGTTTTTCTGTGGAGTTTTTGGGGTTCTCTATGTATATTATCATATCATCTGCAAATAGTGATAGTTTGACTTCTTCTTTTCCTATTTGGATTCCTTGGATGTCTTTCTCTTGTCTTATTGCTCTGGCTAGGACTTCCAGTATTATATTGAAAAGCAGTGGTGAGAGTGGGCATCCTTGTCTTGTTCTAGATCTTAATGGAATTGCTTTCAGCTTTTCACCATTGAGAATGATACTGGCTGTTGGCTTCTTATAGATGGCCTTTATGATGTTGAGGTATGTTCCTTGTATCCCAAGAATTTCAAGGGCTTTTATCATGAATGGGTGTTGCACTTTGTCGAAAGCTTTCTCAGCATCTATTGATATTATCATATGGTTTTTATATTTCTTTTTGTTGATGTGTTGGATAACGTTGATTGATTTTCGGATGTTAAACCATCCTTGTGTCCCTGGAATGAATCCTACTCGGTTGTGGTGAATTATCTTATGGATACATTGTTGGATTCTGATAGCTAAAATTTTGTTGAGGATTTTTGCATCAGTGTTCATTAGGGAGATTGGCCTGTAGTTTTCCTTTTTTGTGTTGTCCTTGTTCGGTTTTGGTATTAGTGTAATGTTGGCTTCATAGAACGTGTTTGGTATTGTCTCTTCCTTCTCAATTTTTTGGAAGAGTTTGTGAAGGATAGGCACCAATTCATCTCTGAATGTTTGGAAGAATTCGTTTGTAAATCCATCAGGTACTGGGCTTTTGTTTTTGGGGAGGTTTTTGATTACCATTTCAATTTCGCTGCTTGTAATTGGTCTGTTTAGGTGTTCTATTTCTTCTTTATCTAGCTTTGGGTGATTGTAGAGTTGTAGGAATTTGTCCATCTCCTCTAGGTTGTTGAACTTGTTTCCATACAACTCTTCATAGTAGTTACTGATTATTCTTTTTATTTCAGCTGTGTCCATTGTGATTCCTCCTCTTTCATTTCTGATCCTGTTTATTTGTGCTTTCTCCCTTTTTTCCTTTGTGAGGCTGGCTAGGGGTTTGTCTATTTTAATTGATTTTTTCGAAGAACCAGCTCTTGGTTTCATTAATCTTTTGGATTGTTTTTTTAGTTTCAATTTCATTTATTTCTGCTTTGGTTTTCATTATTTCCTTTCTTCTACTGGTTTTGGGGTTTTTTTGTTGTTCTTTTTCTAGATCTTTGAGCTTCGAGATTAGGTTGTTTCTTTGAGTTCTTTCTTGTTTCTTGATGTGAGCTTCTATTGCTATATATTTTCCTCTTATTACTGCTTTTGCTGCGTCCCATACATTTAGGATATTGGTGTCCTCCTTGTCATTCAATTCAAAGAATTTTTTAATTTTCTCTTTGATCTCCTCATTAGTCCAGTGGTCTTCCAGTAGTGTGGTTTTTAGTCTCCATGAGGTAGGAAAGTTCCTTGCCTTCGTTTTATGGTTTATTTCTAGCTTGATGCCTTCATGGTCAGAAAAGATGGTTGGTATGATTTCAATCTTGGTGTATCTGTTGATGTTTGTCTTGTGCCCCAGTATGTGATCGATCCTGGAGAATGATCCGTGTGCGCTTGAGAAAAATGTGTACTCCGTTTTTTTGGGGTTTAGTGTTCTATAGATGTCTGTTAAGCCCAAATGCTCTAGGTCCTTATTTAGAGCTTTAGTTTCTTTACTTATTTTTTGTCTTGTTGATCTATCCATTGTTGATAGTGGTGTGTTGAAGTCTCCCACTACATATGTGTTTTCTCTGATGTCTGTTTTCAGAGATGACAACAGTTGTCTGATATATTTTGGTGCTCCTTCGTTTGGTGAGTATATGTTAATTAGTGTTATTTCTTCTTGAAGTATTGTCCCTTTGATCATAATGTAGTGACCGTTGGGATCCCTTTTTATTTTTTTGAGTTTGAAATCTGTTTTATCTGATATAAGTATAGCTGTTCCTGCTTTCTTTTTTGGTCCATTTGCTTGTAGGATTGTTTTCCATCCTTTAACTTTGAGTCTATTTTTATCTTTTGTAGCTAAATGTGTTTCCTGGAGACAGTAAAAGGTTGGGTTTTGCAACTCTGTGTCTTTTTATTGAAGAGTTTAGTCCATTTACATTTAGGGTTAATATTGATATGTTAGCATCTGTATTTGCCATTGTGTTTGTCTTTCCTTTGATTTTATTTATTCTTTTCGTATCTTTTTTTTTTCCTTGCCTTCTTTCGTTGTTATTCGTCCCTCTGAGGTTCTGGCTTTAGGATTCCTTGTAGTATTTTTTGGAGTCGGGGTTTATTGGTAATGAAGTTCCATAGTTTCTGTTTGTCTGGGAAGGTCCTTATTCTTTCTTCATAGAGGAAGGAAAGCTTTGCGGGATAGAGTATTCTTGGTTGACATCTGTTTTCTTGGAGTCTGTTGACTATGTCCTTCCACTCTCTCCTTGCCCGTAGTGTTTCTTCAGAGAAGTCTGATGTCAGCCTGATTGGTTTTCCTTTGAATGTTATTTGTTTCTTCCCTCTTGTCAGCTTCATTATTTTTTCCTTGTCCTGGATTCTTGGGAGCTTCACTATTATGTGTCTTGCTGTATTTTTCCTTTCGTCATGGAAGTTTGGTGTTCTTGCTTCTTGTATATCAATTTTCAGCTCCTTCTTCACATTTGGGAAGTTCTCTTCAATTATCTCCTGGAATATTTTCTCTGTTCCTACATCTCTCTCCTCTCCTTCTGGTATTCCTATAACTCTTATATTTCCTTTCCTCATGGTGTCCGAATAGTTCCCGAAGTCTTTCTTCATTCTTTTTCCTTCGTACTTCTCTTTCCTTTTCTGTGTTGGTTCTTTTTATTTCTGTGTCTTCAAGAGAACTTATTTGTTCTTCCATTTCATCTATTCTGCTTTCATTGCTTTTCCCAGAATTCTTTAGTTCTTCCATTAATTCTTTGATCTCCTGCATTTCTTTTACTTCCCTCTTTAGGGACTCAATTTCATTCTTCTGATCGTTGATTATTTTTCCCTTATCATTGTTTTCCTTTATGACTTCTGTCAGTTTTTTAATCATGGCAATTTTAAATTCTCTTTCTGGAAGGCTCAGAAGTTCTTCCAAGTTACTGTCGTTGCAATCTGGGGGCTGGTTTTCTTTTTGTGGTGTGCTTCTTCCCTGAGGAGTTGCTATGTTGCGTGTGGTTCTTCTACTCCCTACTGTCTGTTTTCTAATTTGCCGTATGCGTTGGGACACTGTGTTGCTGGGACTGGCCGGCATCTTGGGTGAGCTTCTCTGCTCCCCTCTGGCTCCTCCGGGAGCCATCTGTCAGTTTCAAGCAGTCTTTACTGAAGAAAGATCCCTGTTCTAAAATGCCGATGTGGGGACACACTCCCCTGTGCTCCTGGTCTGCCCCGGCGGTGGGTTCCCTCTCCCCCTCTTGGCTTGGACTGCATGCCAGAGGTGTTCTGGTGTGGGCGAACTTCCCCGGCTCACCTCTGGCTCCTGAGGGAGCCTTCTGCAGGCAGTCTTTACTGAAGAAATGTCCCTGTTCTAAAATGGCGATGCGGGACACACTCCCTGCGTGTCCAGTCCCAGGCACACTCTTCTGCGCGCCTGGTCTGCCCCAGCTTTGGGTACTCGCTCCCCCTGTGGGCTCAGACTACTGGTCGGCAGGGGCCCGGCGTGGGCTAACTCCCCAGCTGGCCACTGGCTCCTCCAGGAGCCTCTGCTGGTTTCAAGTCGCTAGGTGGCGCCAGAGGTCTCTCCTAGAGCCCTTGGGGAGCTGGTTTTTTTTTTTTTTCACCCCGTGGGACAGGAAACAGAGCGGGAATGGTAGTGTAAACCTCAACGGCTTTGGGGTGCTGTGTCTGCCTTGTGCCCCACCATCGTGGAGAACCCACGCCCCGAATTTTGTGCTCCGGATCTCAGTTCCAAAGCCCTCAGGTCCAGGACGCGGGCTGTAGCCCAGTTCAGTGTCCACAGAATGGCGTCTTTTGCATCCCGCTCCCGTGCCTGGGTACCTGGTTCCTGGATACTCAGTGAGGGACTTTCACCTCAGTGAGGGTCTTCGCGTCTCCCTGCAAGCCTAGGTCGCAGGCGCGGGGACCTGGGCAGCCGCGATCCCAATCCGCGTTTGCTTTTCAACCGCGCTGCTTTTCCGCGCTATCCTGATCCCGATCCGCGTTTGCTTTTCCAGCCCGCTGCTTTTCCGCGCGATCCCGATCCCGATTCGTGTTTGCTTTTCCAGCGCGCCGCTTTTCCGCGCAAGCTTACAGGGCGACCCGGGGCTGTGTGCTGGTCCTGGCCTCCTCCTGGGGGGCGGGGTCTCTGTTTAATGGCGCCCGGAGCTCACCTCCGTGGCGAATCCTGCAGGGTTCTCCGCAGCTCCCGTTCACGGGGTGTGGTGGCTGCAATAGTTCCTTTCCACTCACAGTCCCGCTTGCTGCGTAGTTTGTTCTTGTTGGTCGTTTTAGTGTGTTTTTTTCCTCCTCTCTGCCGGTCGGAGAGTGCCGACTCTGTGGGTGGGGGAGGGGAGCAGGGTTCTGCGCTTTCCTCCCTTCTAGTCCTCTTTTATGGCAACTTTCTTCTTCGGGTGGTTTGCTGGCGTCACCCGTTTATCTTCCGTGTCCCAGTTCTCACTGGGACCTGCTGCTTTTTCCTTTTAATGGGAGATCTTACTCGCAGCGTCTCCTCTCCGCCATGTTGCTCCGCCCTCGAGGGTTCTTTTTTTTTAAACTTACACAAGCACACCTTTAGAAGAGGAAAAGATATAGTAATACATCGTTCAGCATAGAACTTTTTGTTTATAAAATAATTACAAATATTCCTTTAGTCTCAATATAAAAGTAATACATACTATTGTTTTTTTTAAAAAAAAATCATCAGAAAATAAGAGGGGAAAAAAAAAAGACTGTTAATCCATTATCCAGAGACACAGTTAATTTTAAGTAAGTTGTAGTGTTTTTAAATACAATTTTTATATAACACTTTTCAGAACTTTAACATTGTTCTTCTCATGCCTCCACACTTTAAGGTGGCTTAACTTTAAGAGGCTTCACAGGGCATCTAGTTTTATAGATGGAAAATTGAAGCTTAGGGAGGTTGTGTTTGTTTAGGTCATAACATGTGTAAGCAGACTGATCTTTTGACTTCTAAGTTCTTTGATCTTACACCATTTCTTTGAATACTGGAGTCCTATCTTGTACTTCTGTTGAAGATTAAGGAATTTATGCAACATTGTTGTGTGTGTAAAGAATTATAATCCTATTTCTAATACCACTGAAGAACATAAAACTGTTTTGAAACCTGAGCAAGATAATGGCTTGTTATTGTTTGAGAATGAAAAGATTCTCCTATATAGTGCTAGTTCCATGTTTCATTCTTGAATGATGTCTTTTCCAGTTGGCCATTGATCATGTGACTGTCACCTATAAATGAAGTAGTAATTTCACTTGTGTAACAATGATCACTTGTCATCTGTCGTTAATGGAGGGTGATGCATTGTTTGATGCATTGCTTTCCAGACTCCACATAGTTAGGTTTGCTTGACTTTTTACTAACTTTGAATTAAGGATTTCTAACTTTTAACTAAGCTTCAAATTAATATGAATTTTAAATTTGATTAGATTAAAAACTAAGTGTTATCATTCATCCAACAATATTTTATTACAAAAAATACTAATACGTATCTTGGCTTACTTTCCAGGTTGAGAAACATACGATACGGTTTTAATACAATCCTTGTGATCCTGATCTGGCGTGTTTTTATTGCAAGATCACAAATGGCAAGAAACATCTGGTACTTTGTGGTTAGTCTGTGTTACAAGTTTCTGTCATACTTCAGAGCATCCAGCACTATGAGATACTGAAGTCAAGAATACAGCATTAGAACATCTATGCATATGGTGGTCTAAATGCACAAAATGTAAAATGTACTTAAGTCATCTCACCTTTGTCAAGACATTAAACCATCTTAGATCGGAGTGTGGAGTAAATTATGGTACATCTTATGTAACATTTTAATGTTTATGCTCATAAAACCTAGTTAACACACTGTGGTATGCCAGTTCAAATCTACAACCGCCACCAAAACCATGACTTAACATTTTGAGCCCTGGGTAAAAGAAATGGGGGTTGAGGGTAGGAGTGGGGAAATATGAACACTGACCAGTTTAACTGTGCAATTCTGGAACATTAATTAAAATATGCCTTAACATATAGTAAATTTCTAATTCTAATATTTAGTGGAAAGGAAAGCATTTATTTGGACAGGAATATTAGCTCAGTTGATAGATATTTGACTCTCTAGTGTTTGAGTTTTTTCATCAGTTGAAGTGGGTTTTATTTGTTTACATTATAGCCACACTATTTTTACATCATCTTATAAGTTATTGAGTGGTTTCAAACATGAAAAATACGTTCTCGTTTTTCTTCCTCTGTTTAGAATCTGATACATATAATTTTTCTATAAATAATCAGTTTTCCTAATCAAAAGTCTACATATTATTTTGAAGACCCTCCTGGATCTAATTTGGTTTGAGAATCCTTATCAACAAATGCTGTGTTTTTCCAAGGAAAATGAAAGTGAATTCAATAAGACTAGTTTAAAAATAATGGAAATACATTTTTCTTGTCTACATTTTGACCAAATAAAAATACTATAAGATTTTCTTCATGTTTCGAAGCTGGAGAATTTCTTGAGACTTGCAAGGGTTGGGAGGCAAGGATTCACCATACTTGTGCTCTCCTCCATTTATATAAATCTTATTACTAGGTTTAAAAAGACTTATGCTGTCTTTCTAGTAAAATCTGAAAGTGCATTATTACAGAAGAATGTATTTGTAGGTAGCCATAACATTAAAGAAATGTTCTCGTGTGTAAACACATAACTAATTTTTGACTTTGAGAGCTGAATTCCTTCAAGAAAAATAAAATAATGCATAACATAATGTGTATAAAATTAAAGAATTTATTTACATGCCACGTGAAGTAGCAAACAGTTGAATGAGTTTGAAGATACCATTTTTTTTCTGCATGTGGTTTTAGCTTTAGAGAGAAATACATTATAGAAACAATAGCCAGAAACTAATGTATATTTTAAAAATACTTTATAATTCCCTTTAATCCTTAATAGTATTAACTATACTGTTTCGGTATACAGTTGGTTTAATAGACTGATCAATATAACATGTTCTATTTTAGTTGATCAAATTGTACTATATTTAAATCAACAATGTTGAATATATTTAATAAATAATGAGGTCAGTTCACAATACAAAAAGTTACATAGAACTTTACATCTCAATTTTCTTTGTCAATTTAAATGCAATGTATAAGAAGTTTATTTTGTTATTGTGAAAAAACTAAATGTAGAGGAAATCACCTTCTTCTATGTAGGTGTGAAATCTTGATAAGGAAAAATGCTTCCATTGTTGAAGCCAGATTTTCTGTAGTAAAACCTTTAAACATTATTTTAAAAGAAATACATACACACACACACACATATTCTTTAGAATGATACTAATGTATCTGGTCCAGGACCATCCCTTGTGTAAAGTATGAGAGACCATGGCAAGTGTCAAAAAATGGAATGAGTGATGCCTTTCATTTAAAGTGGCCCATGTAATTAACTATTGATGCTCTCTACACTGAGTATTCAGTTTCTTCTGATACGTTTCCACGATGTGTTGAAGGCATGCTATGATTTTTATACATCTGCTGGATAGACTTAGAATCAGATGAGCTGCCATTGTGTCTCACAAAAGAATCAGGTACAACTTCAATGGACACATTAAGTAGGTCAGGAGTATAATGTCTTCTAAACTGTGTCTTTGTCCTTGTAACCTAATTTAGAGAAATGCTAACTGAGAGGGCGCTGCAGTTATAGCATTATTGGTGTGGGTGTGTGTGTGTGTTTAGAATTCTGTTGAAAAGAAAGCTAATATGAATAACTTAATATGTCATTCTGGAACTCAAAGTTCTAAAATTAGTATAAAAAGTGTAAGATTGTTAATCCCTACAAACTAGACTTTAAGCTTGACTCAAATTTAAAGAGTTTGGAAATTATTTGTGTCATTCACTAGACCCGATTTTAGTTCTGTTTGATTATATTTTCTACACAAACTCAGTTTTTAATAGGATAGACTACTAAATTAAATATTTCTTTTAACTCATTTGATAGTTACATTGTATAACACATTTGGGTTTTTTTTCCCCCTTTCACTCTTGATTTTTATGCCTCTGTCAATCGTGACATCATTGTGAGTATATTTAAATTTGACTAGACAAGATTAAGATCTTCTGAAACTCAACACAGAGAAGCATGGCAATGTGTTCTTTGACTAAGGGTGGTATAAAAATAAACATTCTTTGAATCTGTATAATAAGATTTGGAAGCAGGGAGGAAAAAAATCTTATTTTTTGTGTGTATGTTGGAACTGGTTCAGGGTTTTTTGCTTTTTGTTTTAAATGTAAATTGATAATCTTTTATAAGAAGTAAGTAGAAGCATTATTGGGTGCCTTTGTTTGTAAACCAAAAAGTAATAAATGAATCCCTATACTTCCACTATAGTATTTATTGTATTTTTACAATAATTATCCTGAAAATTACTCATGAGATATTGTGGTTAGAATTACAGAAAATAGCCTGTCACTTCTTACCAAATTTTCAGGTTTACTCATTATTTCTCATATCTTGTTTTAATTTTAAGTCTTTAACACAGCATTTTAGGGGAAGTATATAGGCAGGATGAATACTTTTTGTTAAGGTATTCTATTTATGCATTAACTGGAATGAAGTAGTTTTTCTGTTTTCTATAAAAGTCCTAGGAGATTGCCAGGGTGTTATTAGACTGCAGCTACTCTCCTCCAAGTTAATGATCATTAACTTATAGGTACATCTTCAGCAATTTATTAAGTACAAGGGATCATTCATTAGTAATAGAGATTAACTGTAAAAAAGGAGAGTACATCAGGCTGGGGTAGAGTATGACTTCCCAAGCATGCTCTTCTAAGCTGACTCCAAGTCTGTACTTGAAACCATTAACATTGACTTGCTTTATTTTGAGAAAAACTCTAACCTTTTGCATGAGAAACTAGAGACAGGAACTTTTGCTGCATAACTTGATATAGAAATAACAATCTGTGATAAAAGAAATATGAAATATTTTCTCATTGAATTCATGTTTTTGTCTTTAGGCATTTTCTAGTATAGAATGAATCTGTCTTTTTTTTTTTTTTTTATGGTGGTACTACCCTCTTAAGTATAATCTTTGCTACCCTTAAGATTCCCAAATAAATTCGTCTTTGTCAATTGAGCATAGTTGTACAAAATTGTTAAATAATTTCTTTTATTTTTCTTTATTAAAGAAAAATTTGACTAAAGTTAAGTTTGATGTGCTCCTTTGCAAGTTGACAGCTCTAAAATACACTTATTGGAAAAATATCAAGCAATAAATATGAGTAATATCTTTATTGTGGGTCTGAATGTAGGAATAGAGCTTTTTTGGTGGGTCACAAATACAATACCTATAAGAGGTAGAGGAAAAAAAACAGTGAAGACTTCTTATGAACTAATTAGAATTTAAAAGCAAAATATTTACCTTAAATGTAAATAATGGCCTTATTTACCTTAAATAAAGGCCCCTTCTATGAAGCTATCTGCAGCCACTGTGGCATGAGTTCAATCCCGGGCCTAGGAGCTAACCCACCCACATGGTGCAACAGAACTTTCCTGTCGTCTCACCGGCTGCTCCCCTCAGCAGTGTACTTCGGTCAGTCTGCCTGTTCTGTTCCCCACTCTGTCTCTGGTGAATCCTCTCACCTCCCGCACCTCTGGCCTGTACCCCAGTTCTTGTATGCATAAATTTTTTTTAAGTCTCTTCTAGATATTTAACTTAGTTTTCATGTTAGGGAGTCATAGGGAAGAATTTTATAGGGTTGGTTTGTTTTTTTTTTTTTTTTTTAGTAGCTATAGGGTGTTCTTCAAAGATGCTTTGGAAGCAGAATTCTTTTACTTTCTGCTGTTGTCTGGAAAACCTAATTCTCTCTTGCATAAATCTGTCAAGAGTTTCCCTTCAGTTTTTGTAAGCAAGGGATAACTAGAAAATACTGGATTAGGGAACTACATAAAAGTGTTAATATTTAATAGTCTTTATATAGATCATATGATTCAATGTAGTATTAGAGCTGCTTTATTGGTGTTATTTTTTAACAAGCACACTGGAACCTAAACATACAAATGAATGTAGTTTTATATAAAGTATTCATCCCAGGATTGTGTGTGTATTTCATCAGTACTTGTTTGACATTTAATACCTAATTTTCTACATCTTTCACAGGTCACTGTCATTTTTCCCAATTTTGTTGTTCACAATTTTGCATCTTTTTTCATTATGGAATAACACTAGCAGACATTTGTTGAGCACCTACTATGTGCTGGAATTCACTTTAAGCCTTTTACATCAACTCTTGTGTGTCGTAAAGGAGGGCACCTAGATTGCCCATATTTTATAGATGTGGTAGCTAAGGTATATGACATTAGTTTTTACCTCGTGTTACACTGCTGATGCAGAGCCAAGATTTGAATTCAGGTAGTGTAGTTCCAAAGCCCATTATACTTGCCTACCATACTATTACTACAGCAACACAAATATTTCTGACTATTCAGAAAGGTTCTCTGACATGCTGTTGTACTAAAATGCCTTTATTGGTTTCTTCATTTCTCAAACCCAGCCTATTTCTTCATTCCCAAACCTATTCAAGTTTTGAGTACCTGTTATGGGTTAGATGCTTATGTTTTGTTTTGCAATTATCTATCTGTATTACCACATGAAGGTTCTTAGTGAGCCAGACCTAAGTATGCACACTGCCTACCCTTTAGGATTTTTAACATACCATAGCTTAGTAAACATAATTTTTAGTATAACTTGTAAAGAAAGAAAAAAACAAAATACTGAAAGTAAAGAGGAGTTACTTACTCT